TTCCTAATATCAGATCCATAACCCATAAGTACTTAATAAAGGGCCACACTCAAAACGAGGGTGATTCTGCACATTCGCTCATAGAAAGGCAGGTGAAAAGACAATTAAAAAGTGGTCCCATGTACACACCAGATTCATTCATTGCGGCAATCAAATCGGCAAAAAAAATGGACAGCCATATCACGTACATGAAATGTCGTTTGAAGATTTTTTTGACTGGAAGGATGTTTGCACACAAATGGGACTGAATGTCACTAAAAATGTAGAAAACGAGCCAGTTAAACTTTCAGATATCAAAATTTTGAAACTTGAAAAATCATCCCCACAGGTTTTATACTACAAACACTCATATAACGATGAGACTTTTAAAAAGGCCGTAATAATTAAAAGGAAAAAATATCCAGAAATAGTGGTTAAAAAAGCTTATGACTGTAAGCCAGGAATTTCTGAAAAAAAAAATCCGATTTGCTTGACTTATTAAACAAAAATGTTATACCGAAATACTATGCACCGTTCTATAAGTCATTATAAATATTTTTATTTTTTTTTATTTGGTTTAAAATGTTCGTTTTGTATTAATTGCATTAAAATTTAGATTATTATAAATATGTTATGTTAAAACCTTCTTGTTCAGTTGTAGCATAAGCATCAAAATGGTATTTTTTTGTAAAAGGTATGTTTTGTTAATAAAAATGTTTACATGAATTACCTTCCATAGTCTTTTAGTTAAAAATTAATACTTACTTCAAGAAAAATTGCAGTAATATAGACATAATACTAAATATTGTCTTGTCTTTCTTAAAAAAAATTAAAGCACTTATCAACAATAATGTCATTTTTCGGAATAATACCAAAATAGGTCCAATGTTTTTTAGAAAGAACGACATAAAAATTTATTTATTTTTATTTAGACAAAATAATGCGAAACAAATTACGGAAAACATAAGGTCTTAATAAATTACGATATCTGTATATATGTATACCTTGCTAATATGTTATAAAAAGTCGGATAAGCAATGTGATAACTAGAAATCATCTGATAAAATCTTTATTAGCGATTTCTGAAAATTTTACTTTTTTGAATTATGTCATTCTTGTCGCAAATGAGCGATATATCAGCTTATAAAATAAGCTGGATTTAGATCGGGATACAGCCTATAACGACCACTTAATAGTGATAAAGAACCTGATAGAGAAACCTGCTGAATAGAAAAAACCATTGGCACTGATATTTGTCGACTACGAGAAAGCATTCGATACTATAAGCCATTAGAAAAAAATTAAATGCATTGATATAACGCCGAATAGACTATCGCTACACTAACATAATCAAATATATCTGCCAAAATTCCACACCTAGCGAACACTATCTGAACAAGAAACAAATAAATTATGTATACAGCAAGGAGTAAGGCAAGGAGACACCGTCTCTTCAAAGCTATTTAAGACGCTTTTAGAACATAATTGTAAGTAGGCACCTCTGAACGAGCATGGTATCAACATAAATGAAGAGAAGCTGTCATATGAGATTTGCAAATAACATCATCCTTACAGTTGATATGGATAATGCAATAATAATGTTTGAAAAATTATATCACGCTTCCTTGGAGGTCGTACTAAAGATTAATACGAACAAGACGAAAATAATGAATAATCTGGTGCTAAATCCAAATATTGTTGTGGATGAAAGGAAAATTGTGCAGAATGCATCGTATAAGTACTTAGGATATGAAATTGGGTTGGACAGAGATAACCAGATATGTGAGCTTCCAGGTCGCATACATGATATAAGGATACCATGATATTGCCACGCACTAAACTCGTACACTCACGCGCATGACGTCACCTTGTGCTAAATTTTCAAAATGTATTCATGCTTGGGGATGAAATGAACTGTTGAAATTTTAATATAATTTACTAGACATTTTATTTACTACGTGAATTTAAGCTTAAGTATTTAAATAAGTATATTGTAAAAAATAACAATTTTCCCATAAGAGTGAAGTTTGATGAAGGGAGCCATGGCCGAATGCCACAAATTGCAAACTATGGAATGTGATTTTCATACAATATATATTTTATATATAGTAGTTAGGTATTATTGACTGACACGTTAGGTAAACTATTTCTTTTGAGGTTGCAGTCATTAATAGGGCAGAATAAGTAAAACTCTTTGTTCTTTTATTATAATCTCCTACCTATATAATATTTATATATATATATATATATATATATAATATATATATATATATATATTTATATATATATATATATATATATATATAATATTTTTCTTTTGAGGTTGCAGTCATTAATAGGGCAGGATAAGTAAAACTCTTTGTTCTTTTATTTAGCTTTCACAAAATTTATTCGCTTCTTCAGGATATGCTAAAATATGGTTATAATTATTTAATCTTCCAACTATATATACATATATATATTAATAAAGTATTCAACCAGTGAATTCAGAGGTTTATCGGTCGTTCAGGTTGGCAAAATAAAAAACCGAAGTCAACTACTTCATAAGTTTATAGAAGACATTTCGCTTTATACTTCTAAAGCTTCATCAGTTCTAACTCAATATGTAGTATTAAAGATGATATTATATATGTAAGTTTACTCATTATTTAGAAATACCCAAAAAAAAAACAGAAACAAAGGACACCAAAACTTTGCAAAAAATAATATCATTCGCAGAAACGAAGATTTAACAAATTTTTATACGTACATTTGGCTTCATTTAGAGATGGTTCTCCAATGAATACAAACAAAACACTCACCAGTGTTTTGTTTGTCTTCATTGGAGAACCATCTCTAAATAAAGCCAAATGTACCTTTAAAATTTTGTTAAATCTTCGTTTCTGCGAATATTATTTTTTGCAAAGTTTTTGTGTCCTGTGTTTCTGTTTTTTTTTTAAGTTAGTTCTAAATAATGAGTAAACTTAAGTACATATATAATAACATCTTTAATACTACATATTGAGTTAGAACTGATGAAGCTTTAGAAGTATAAAGCGAAACGTCTTCTACAAACTTATAAAGTAGTTGACTTCTCTTTTATATTTTGCCAACCTGAATGACCGATTCATCACTTCAATAACTTTCAACAAAGTGCTTAGAGCAAACACGAGCAAATTTAACATTAAAATTATCCTGGCATTTACACAAATGTTTCCAAACAGCTTGCATTTTCTTGTCTTTTGGAAAGCTATAAAATGTTGTACCGGGTACAAAACTCTTGCACATATTGTCAACGACACAACCATACATTGCACACCTCATATCGGGAAAAATTTAAAGCCTTATAACATTTTTAAAATATTATTTTATTAAATATTGGCTATGAACCGTAAATGTACATAAACGTCAAAACACAATATGGCGAAATTTAGCACAAGTTGACGTCACAAAAGTCATGCACAAGCCACGCCCACATGCGCGGTATCTTATCTGTTTGTATTTGTATCATGGGTCGCATAGGATTAGCCTAGGCAGCGTTTGAAAGCCTAAGCTGGGTCGACAGAGTTAGAAATGAGGAGGTCCTTAGACGGCTGAACCAAACAACACAACTGGTCAATATAATAAAGAAACGCAAGCTGGAATACTTCGGTCATTATTATGAGACACCCTGAAAAATATGATCTTTTACATCTGATCATTCAGGGAAAGATCCAAGGTAATCGTGGTCCTGGTAGAAGAAGAACATCATGGCCGAAAAATCTAAGGCAATGGTATGGAAAATCAACTACATTGTTATTTAGAGCTGCTGTCAATAAAGTCACGATAGCGAATATGGTAGCTAACATGATATCCAACGATCGATAACGGTCATGGAACTAGAAGAAGAAGCGTTTGAAAATTAAAGTATGATGTAAATCGGATCTACCCATATGCGTCAAAAAGAAAATCTTTGACCAATGTATGTTACCTGTGCTCACTTATGAAGCGGAAACATTCACACTCACAAAAAAGGTAGTGAATAACATTCGCGTGACTCAAAGGGCTCTGAAGCGTTAGATGTTGGGTGTCTCTTTGAGAGACCGAATCCCAAACGAAGAAATACGTCGTAGAACTACAACAACAGACGCCATCGAAAAAATCGCGTCGTTAAAATGGAATTGGGCAGGATACGTCGTCAGATTATCAAACAACTGATGGAAAAAACATATTTTATAGTGGAGACCAAGACAAGAAGCAATACGGAGCAGTGGACGCCCACCAATTAGATAGACTAACGACCTTAAGCGTGGTAGCAATAACTGGATGCAAGCCGCACAAGACAGAGACAGATAGAAAGAGCTGAGGAAGACCTATGCCGAGCAGCGGACGCAAACATGTTAATGATGATGAGTCAATGTTTAAAATGCTGCCCATTATGTTTAACATTAAGGACTGTCACAGTCATTAATAAAAGACTGTCGGGTTTCACTTCAGGTCCAACGCTAGCAAATCCCCAAAAAAATTTAGTCCAGTAAAGTAAGACCTGAATATATTACATTGCCCCTGGATTGCCATTTCCATTACCATATCCGATCCAACTGACACTGTAGTTATTATTTAGCACATGCCTAGCATTTATTGTACGATGTGATGGCGCTCCGTCGTATGGACACCACATGTTTTGTTTAATTTTTAAGAGAACATCCTCTGACAAGGTTGTAGCTGACATTGTACATACCTAGCATGTTTAGTATTGTAGATATTTAAAAAAACTAATATAGATTTTATGTTTTGGCGATTTTTTTTTATTAAAAAACGTTTTGCAAATTTTTCTCAAATTATCGATACCAAACGTCATTTTTACTTATTAGAAATATGAATACTCTTACGTTCCGATCAAAAATGATAAGCAAACATTCACCAAATAAAATTCATTAACAATTTAATGAACATTAAAGAGTTAATAACCTTCCAATTAGTTAATGTCTACCTTAAAATATTTTAGCGATGATTTAATATAACCGGTTAAGAACTATGTAGGTAGTATGAACAAAACTTACACAAAATTATCATGTCTAACCGTTTTGACTACTTGTCTTCTTTGTGCGTCAGTATCATTTACATCGATCATACCTGCATGTATCTGAAATTTTTGTATATTGTTAAGATATTGGAAGTTATTTAATTATCTTTGTCAAATTACCCAAGTTCTCTCTTTTGGTGTACCTCCTAGACAATGAGCAGCGGTAATAACCCAACTCTTTGTTATAATAGAAGCTCCACATATAGGATTTCTATCCTCGCCTTGGTATTCTTCATATGAGGTTATGTATGGTAGTTCTCCCTTCGTTGCATTGCGACCACCTACAACACCCAGGTGCTCTGAAGGGGCACCTAAAAAAAAATGTTTTTGTAAAAACAAAGATTAACGAGCTGATTAACATTGCAGTGGGCGTACTTTAATAATTCTCGACCAAGGCCCATACTGACTACCAGTGCCCTTATTATTTTGGTAGTAAATTATAGAATATTCGCTAAATTTTAGAAAATTAGTTTTTAATGTTATAAATAAATATACGTTTTCCGCAAATCGCCAGGAAATTTTGACATTCCTGTCAAAATTTCTTGAAGAAAAAGTCAGGACTTCCTTACTGTAAGGAAATGTCATTTCCTTACTGTAAGGAAATGATATTTCCGTACAGTTGTTAGTGTTCTACATAAATGATAGAAGTTTGACAATTCAACCTCAATACGTTTCCATAGTAACCCAAGTAATTCTATTAGGAAGTGTGTTGCTAAGTCTCGGCTTGCGCCTCGACTTAGCAATCTTCACAGTCGTCCAGGAATGTTAAGCTTTTCCTACCCGGTAAACAATGTACTATTTTTTAACAACATTTTGTATATTTAAAAACACGTTGAGTATTATTATTCACCTAAACAATTAGTGTGCTCTTAGTTAAAAAACTTTACAAAAATACTTTGATGCACTGGATTTCTTATGAGCACATTAAAACCTCGACATTTGTCAATAATGAGCATTGTTTTGTATAGAAACTTCAGGATTTAAAGTGTACTAAATTTGTATTTTAAAAGTATATATGTATATATATATATATATAGTATATATATATATATATATATATATACATATATATATATATTATATATATATAATATATATATATATATGTATATATATATATATATATATATATATATATATATATATAATATATAGAGAGAGAGAGAGAGAGAGAGAGGGAGAGAAAGAGAGAGAGAGAAAGAGAGATAATATTAAATATTGCATGAAGGAATAAATCAAAATATTTAGAAACATAGAATGAACTTAAATGGCGATTAAAGAAATAATATACTACAGAATATTATGAAAAGTATTTATATGAGGGCATTCTTAAGAAATTAGTATAATAATAAGTTTAAAAAGTTTTTATTTTGCAATGTATTTGGTTATTTTAATAATAATGATATTATAAATATATTTGAGTACGCCATCTATATAGGCAACCAAAGATACACTGAAGTAAGTTTGGTTATTGTGACTTTTGTGAATAAGAGTGAATTTGAACAGGAAAGTGGACATTTGAAATATTAATTACGGATTAAAATATTGTTATTTACTAATTTAGGATGTTTAATTTATATAATAGTTTACATTCTGATCTAAAAGCCTAAATGTCCATAAAATTCTCAATAGAAAAGTAAAGAATTATCTAGGGGTTTAAAATAAGATGTCAAAAGAAATAATTTAACTTCTTTTCGTAAGAGAATATTTGCGAACATTGAAATATCTATGAAATAGAAGGATTCGAACCTATTTTCTTTCGAGAATATTCGTGAACATTGAAATGATATAAATACGCTGTGATTTGGAGGATAAGGGGCAGTATTCGGTGGTCAATAGTCGGTATTCAATATCAAGTGTATTAGGTGAAGATTAAAAAATAGTATTAGTTGGAGATTAAAAATTATATTATGTATATGGAGATTGGAGATTACAAGAAATTAAAAATTATAATATTTATATGGTGATTGGAAGAGAAAAAAAGATTATTAGAAAGAAGAATAAACAAGAAGGAAGAATATTTTACCGATTTATAAATGCTATTAAGAAGAAAAATATTTTAAAATGGTGGAAGCTGATAATTAAAACATTGTGGTCTATTTGGCAAAGCAATTTCACAAAATGAAGAATAACTGAGGCTGATAACGAAGACATTGAGTGGTGATTAAAATCTTTATTTTGGAAAACAATTTCATTTAGGCATTCAGTGACAGAAAGGTACCAAATTTTGTTAATATAATTTAATTATTGTAATAAGAATTTTAAAGATAGGTTATTTTAAGTTTATATTGTCTATATTAGATATATATGTGTGTTTCATAATAATTATAATAAAGATAATTTCAAAAAGTGCTTACAAACTAATTCTTTGAGAAATATATATATATATATATTATATATAAATAAATATATATATATATATAATATATATATATATATATATATAAAATTATATTAAAAAACACTTCAATAGGTCCTGATAAAACATATTCTGAAGTAAAAAATGTAAACGATAAATCTATTTTAAACTGAAATTCTGGTTAATTTCCAATAAAAAGTGTAAATAAAATTAGGGAAGTGAAATATATAAATTGTCTAAAATTTCTTATTTAAACTAAATAATTTCTTACCATATATTCCTATACAGGTAATCAATAAAATAAACGTCAACATACTACAAAAGTTATTCTAAATATAAAAAAGAATCCTTTTATAGCCTATTTTAATAAAAATCTCTTAAGATAATATTAAATATTGATCTCTGTGACTGATTGATTGCAGTTAATCAATTTTAGATAATATAATAATTGTATTATATTAATTAATTAATTAATATTAAGTTTTATAAAAAAAGTTACAAGAGGTTTTTTTAATACCTAGTACAAATATCTGAAGTCATTGATTACTAGAATAAGATTAGATAAAACATAGATGTAATATAGCTAAAGTCGCTATTGGGAAGATGACCAAAACAAAAGCAATATGTTTTACGAAAACTCACCAATTAATACAACCAAAGAACTTGTATTTAAATGGAGTACAGCACAAATATGGAGACTAAGTTGGATCCCTTGGTATCCCAGACTGAAATAAATTTGTTACGATCACTTGTAAACAAAAATGGGCTTCTACGTTACTACATTTTTACAAGGCGTTAGTACGTTCCAAACTTGACTACCGCTCACTCGTTTATAACTTTCCAAAAAAAAAGTACTTAAAAACATTAGGTTTGATTGAAAATACAGGTCTTCGAATTTCCTGAGGAGCATACCACACAAGTACAATACAAACTCTATACTGGGAGCCTGAATATATTCCACTCACGTTTAGAAGACAATATCTAAGTCTTTCTTATGTCATTGCAGTAACATATTATCAAGATAATCCCCATTATAAATTGTTTCCAAACTTCAAATTGAGCTGATCAACCTTCCGATTACCGCCTATCTGAGATGCCAGAAAGTCAAATTAATCAATAATTTTTGAAGATATTAAGCAAGTATTTTAACTGTTTTAAAGCTTACACCAATGCTTTCAAAAACGATGGCAGCAATCTAATCGTCAGATTACATAGAAGCTTACAAATTACCGTCATATACAACAACCTTCCCTGCTGAACTGTTTGCCATACTAAAAGCATTAGTTCTGATAAATAACAAAAATAAAAAGGAGAATACTATTATTACAAATTCTTTCAGCTCAATACTGGAATTAAACCAACTCTACTGTGATCATCAACTGTGTGCTTGTTAAAAAGCAACTAAAACATGCAGAAAATATGAATATTAAAGTAAATTTTATTTGGTTACCGTTACGTATTGGAATCGAATGTAACGAAGTTGTAGACAAAATAACAAAAAATGCACCTACTAACCCAAACGTAGAAGTGAATATGAAATCTCTACGCACCGATCTGAAAGCATATTTTACACAAAAGAATAATACAATAAAGAAATATTAACAATCGGTTTACTTACAAAATTGATAATTACCAACTGATTGCACAGGCTAATTTTCCACCCATCGCCAGTTTTTTCATAATTATTGATTCATCTTTCCATTGTGATCCATGGTTTGTTCTAGCCATGTTTCTTGATGTATGTTTCGTGCTCATTTATCCCGACACGTAGTGGTCTTGTGGTTTCTCCTATATAAAATTCTTGCATAAACAGGGTATTTTATAGATGCAGTTTTTTCATCTTTCTTGTGTTGTTAAGTTTATCTTTTGGATTTATTTCTTTTGACAAGGGATGAGCTTCTAGTCCATCGCCCCAACCGTCCTCCTTTATCCGGGCTTGGGACGGGCACCGACATTTACTGAGCTACACAATGCACCCAGCACTTACCGGTGGCGGAGATACGTGGCTATTACTGTCTAATAATAAATTAAAAAGAAACTAACTTTCCATCTTACGTCTTTTGATCTGCACGAAGTGAAAAGTTTTCTATAAAAATTAATTTTTTTAATAATAAATAAAGTTAATTTATTAATTAATATTTATTGATTTATTTTAGTTATATTTTACTAAAAATAAATATTATTAATTATTTAAAATTTAATTTTAAAATGTAATTATTGTATCTTAATATTTCAAGAACAACTATTTATTAATTTTCTCTTTTAAGAACAAATTATTGTTCTAGAATGTCAGAAATATTGAACTAAATTAAACGATTTATAAAAAGAATATTTTTTTGTTGTGAAATGTTCAGCTGAAAACCGTTTCCGAATGAATTACTGATTTATAAATCTAAAAACTTTCTAAAATATTTTCCATACTTTTCAATTTAAATTTTGTCTACGCAAGTGACAAAAAATAATTGCAAAGGAAATTACATTTCTGGACTACTTAGCTTTAATAATGCAATAACAGTTGAAGCCGGGAAAAAGGGGACTAAGATTAAATCAAAATTTAAAAGCCATCTCACGAACTCGTCGTCAAGAAATTGTTTCAAGCCAAATGGATGTCCTCTAAATGATGGTATCTTTTGAATTTCTAAAAAGATGTCCTGATTGTTTATTTTTCGTCTGTTTTTCGAAAGAACTTGTTAAGGTCGGATTAAATTACGAAAATCTTAAGGATTGTGAACTTTGAGACATTGTAAATTAAAAGTATTAATCTTCTTTAATTATAAACGATTAAATGATGCGTATCGGGGCAAAAGCTGTGTTTGCCAAATTTCATAAAATTTGGATAAATAATTGGTGGCCTTGGAATAAAAGGGGTACAGGTACGTTTTTTACATATTCTGAGACATTACCATTAAGTTAAACCGAATTAAAAAATTCCTGAAAAGAGCTAGGATATTTATTGAAACTTTAGTATTGCATTAAAAAATGATACATTTTTAATGCAAACAATTAACAGACTTTTTTTACCTTAACTTAACTTAACCTAAATATAATTTTTTTTGTTAATTCCTAAAAAAGAGAGCAATTCCATTCAAACTATAACCTTTAATATTTTTAATAAACTTCTCTTTCTACAATGGTACTTTTTGGAATATCTATAGCTGAAAGAAGTGGTAGCTGTGCATAAGACAGATAATCCAAAAGATATATTATGCTTATATGGAATTAAGCCACAAGTGATTGTAATTAAATTTACATTTTTGAGTAGCTAAAATTTTATGTTTGAGAAGTATCCGAGCTAAGTGATCTAAGTGCCAAAACATAAATTTTGATTTTTTTTTCGGTCAATATGATCTATGTTTCGATACCAATATCTCCCTATGAGATCTAATTGCCAACTTTACTCTAGTGGTTGCAAACTGTAAGTTCGTCGTCACGTACTTTGCTAATTGGTCTTTTTTCGTCTTTATGGAGGGGGGTCTGGAATCTTCAAAAGACATCTCACTCCAGAACGCCGCCTGACTGACCTTAGCGTAGGGTTCGTTCTTCGTACACCCAGTGAAAGTTCCCGAGGTACTTTAAAATGCCCTTTCGTCGCCAGATCTACGCCTACCTGCTAAACCATACCCTCATTTGTCATCCAGCGATCAGGAAGCGGAACGGCCGTTGTAAGGCCAGCATCACTTCCGAAGCACTACCTTAATTCATCCACAGATTGTCAGCAAGGAGGCTCCCTGTCTCGTTCTACTCGATTTGACTCCCAGACGGGCATTTCCTTCTTCCCCACAGTCTGATCACACAGTCTAACTCATAAAGTCTGATCCACTTTTCTACCTTTAACTTTCAGCATCTTTCCCTCTTACCGTTGTCTTTCTTCCTCTTCTTTTTCTTGATAACTTCACCGATATAGTTGTGTATATTAGTCCAACCTGCTTTATTTTTAATCATTCTCTCCATCATTTCTCTCACTGTAACAAAATTCACACCTGTCTCTCTCTCCATTATGTTCGTTTCTACTATCCATCTGTTGCAATCTAACATCGTATGCGTCACAGTGTCCGAATGTCCGAGTATAGACATTCATATGTGTCAGCCTTTTTGAACCTAGAGAGGTAGGCCCTAAAACACCCATGTACTGTGAGCACCTGCAGTAGGAAACAATCCAGTCACCTGTGTCCACACAATCCACTCAATCTCTTATGTTCGGGATCAGCAGTTTCGTCCACTGTGCAACTCCTCCATGTTGTTATATTCTTACTGCCATCTTTCAATTGACCTTTCTCTTTCCTGTCGTCTCTCAGCCATAGTAAGGTTTGGTCCTCTTCTCTCATAGAGCTCTTTTCTTTTCACCGCCAAAACATGCAACAGAATACATCCAGTGATGGTCCACAACCCTGCCGCAGACACAGTTCTGTAGGCGCATGCCACTCGCAACAGACTTGTTCTGTCCACTCGTATCATGAGCCTCCTATAGGACGTTATCTCTACCGCCTCGCTTCAGACTGGTGCCGCGTAGAGGACGATCGACTGTACAACACCGTGTGAGACCCTCCTGCTTTCGGATTTGGGTCACCCAATGTTGGGCATCATCCTGCCCAACGCAGCCGCACTATTCGCAGCCTTCCGGGCCACTTCCCGCACGTGCTCCCCCCATTTTCCATTCTGGTGCAATGTCACTCTTAGGTACTTTACGTGTTTATTGGGTGTTAGACATGCTCCCGCACATTGTAATTCAACACTTTGCCTGTTTCTTTTCCCCTTCAGAATAATGGCTTCGGTTTTCTCTGCCGCAAGTTTTAGTCCGTGCTAGGTCATCCATTTCTTTACGATGCCGCCTGCGTTCCGAACCCGGTATTTGAGATCTGGCTCATCCCGGACCACTACCAGTACAGCGAGGTCAGCCGCGAATGCAAAGGGGGTTGTACCGTCTCTATATTCACAGTTCATAACCCCGTCATATGCCAGGTTCCAGAGCGTCGGGCCCAAGACAGATCCCTGAAGTACCCCAGCCGTCACGTCCACGATCATGTCCTTTTCCATCATAATCCTTCTCTCGGACAAATACTCCGCCACCACATTCATCAGGTAACCAGGACATTCTCTCTCCCCATTGCCTTCGTTGCCTCATTCCACGGCAGCGTATTGAATGCATTCCTAACATTGAACAACAGCAGGGCTGCCCAGCGATGTTCATCCACTCTGTTGCGTAATGCTTCGAGCACGCTCGCGATTGCATCAATCGTGCTTTTCCCTGTACAAAAACCAAATTGCCTTCGAGATAAACCACCTGACCTCTCAATCATGTCGTCTATGCGTACTCGTAGCATC